GGGCGAGACAGGCCCCACTGCCAACACCCTGAGGCGTCTCTTCCTTCGTAGTGGGCGGGTCAGGCTGGGGCCTGGGTCCGAGCGGTGCTGCCCATGCCGCCGGAGGAGCTACAGCCAGAACAGGTGGCCGAGCTGTGGGGCCGGGGCGACAGGATCGAATCTCTTAGCGACCAGGTGCTGCTGCTGGAGGAGAGGCTGGGCGCCTGTGAGTCCTCACACTCCTCCCCGCCAGACTCCCATTCCCCAACAACTGCACCCAGCTGTTCCTGGGACCCACTCCCCATTCAGCATTGCCTCTTTCCCCCAATCTCTACAACACTCTCTCCCTATACCTTCCCGGAACATCTCCATGTCGCCACTCTTCTCTTCTGAAGGGACCCTGCCCTCAGACTAATAGTTCCACTTATTGTTGAGTAACAGTTGTCCACTCTAGGCTGACCACAGCCAGTGAGTCTGCCTTGTCGTTAACCAGGTTCCTGTGAGGACAACAGCCTGGGCCCTGGCCTCAATCATCGATAAGGAGCCTCTACAGCACCCATGCCCCCTAATTTATACAGAAATAGGACCCACTAATCTGGGATTCGTTGACTGGAAGCTGCAGATAAGGCTATCAGTAACCAAAGAGCAATGAGCAACGGAAACTTTGGAGAGCTGAAGAAAGGGGGAAGGTGGGTTGTCTTGGGCACTCCTGAGTCTTCTGGCTGGGGGCAGGCTGCCTGGGGTGGGATTGCTGCTTCAACTCCTTTAACAAATGCAACCAGAAAGCACCCAGATTGTTCTCTCTCTTTATTTTTAGTTTCTTGCTGTTATCCAGATAATAAAAACCAATCCCACAAAACTGGGTCCCACCCTCTCCCTTTGCTCCCAGTCTACCTCCCTGGTTGTGGAAACAGGTCTGGAGTGAGAGGCAGGGAGCAGCTAATGCCACGGGGAAGAAATGAAAACTGGCTCAGAGAGGGGGAAGCCTCAACAGAAAGAGAAATAAATTAAAAGCCCTCCTATCCCCTCCAGCCAGGATTCAGTTCCTTTCCCCAACTCCCCAGGTAGCAGAAGTGAGTGCAGCACCTGATGTCTGCCGATTCCCCTTGTGTCTGGTTAGATGGTACAGCACGGCTACAGGGGGCTGAGTAGGGTAAAGACCACTGAAGAACTGTACCACGGGGGTCGGGAGAAGCAGAAATGTGGAGACCGAACTGGCATCCCCAAGTCTGCACAACCTTGGGGATCTGGGCAAGGGCAGGGATGAGACCTCTGAGTTAGAAGAGTACAGGCCCCACTGACAGGAGGCTCCACCAGGAGGGAAGGTGAAGGTGCTGAGGAAAAGTTCCCAGGATGAGCCTGGGAGGAGTGTTCCAGGTATCATCTTCGAGCCACAGGGTGAGAAGTCCTCCTTACAAACAGATGAGTTCATTGAATCCATGGACTTGGGGGTGGGGGAGAACTGTTCCACAGAATGGATGAGTCCACTGGCCAATGTGGGGTGGAGAGGGAGACCACAGAGGAAGAGTCCACTGGAGATGGGATGGAATGTTCCCCACCCTTGTTTAGGCTGAGCCACTCGAGATGAGAGGGAGGCAGCTGTCCCACAGACAAGATGGCAGGAGGTGGGGGTCAGAGTAGAGACTGCACCAAGGCAAGAGAGTCCATGGATGGGGGGCAGGAAGGGACAGGGGGTGGTGCCGTATCACTTCAGAAGTTGAAGATTCCAAAGAGGAGAATAAGTGGGATGGGGGAAAAAGAGGAAGAGGGCTTGGCCCTGCTTCAGGGCCCATGGGGTTGGTAGGTGTGGGGAGGAAGGGGGGGATATATGGTAGGGGAGCTCAGAGCCGGGCTTCACCCACCCCTTCAGGCTTCTTCAGGTAGTCACCACCACCCCGGCCATCAGTGGAGATTTCCCGGAAAACGGTGAGCATGGAGTGCCGGACTCTGTCAGCCAGAGCTGGGACGTCATCTGGTGTCAGCCCTTCTGTGGGCACTGGGGGCAGCACCCGCACCTGACATCGCCCTGGGGCGGGGGGAGCACCATCATGGCCTATCCACCCAGCTCTTCACCAAAAGGTGGGGCCCAGCTTCTGAACCATCTTGCTACTCCCCTCCTCAACCTTTCAGTGCTCTTCTTCCAACCCTGGCTGACCACTCCTCTGCTTGCTAGCTGCTACCTGTCTTCTGAGGCTTTCCTCCTGCACAACTTTTCACAAACCCTCGTTCAGACACCTCAGCATCCCTCTAGCCCTCCCTTGTCTGGGTTTAGCATTTACTGCTGACTCTTATTCATTACAGCTTTGCAAACAGGCCTTATCTTTCCTGCTAGATAGTAACAACCCCTGTTGGTGGGATCAAGGGCTACCCATCTAGCAGGGTATGGTGAGTGCTTATTAAATACTTATTGGCAGGCGGGGTGCTCATGCCTGTAATCCCAGCAGTCTGGGAGGTGGAGGCAAGTGGATTGCCTGAGCCCATGGGTTCGAGACCAGCCTGGGCAACTTGGCAAGACCTCGTCTCTACAATAAATGAAAAAAATTAGCTGGGTTTGGTGGTACACATCTGTAGTTCCAGCTATTTGGAAGACTGGGTGTGGTGGTCCACACCTGCAGTTCCAGCTACTTGAGGTGGAAGGATCACCTGAATGCAGTACGTTGAGGCAGTGGTGGCCATGAGCGTAGCACTGCACTCCAGCCTGGGTGAGAGTGAGACTCTGACTCGAAAATAAATAAATAAATAAATAAATAAATACTTACTGGCTAATGTGGGGTCACACTAGATGACTGTGTGGACACTTCACGGTTCTGACACTGAATGATCTCTGCCTCAGGGGGATGTCCTCCCAGCCTCTCCCATGGCCCTTCTGAGCACACCCTACCCCAGACCTGCTCAGAGCCCTCACCCGAGGTGAAGCGGCGCTCCTTCTTGCAGTAGAAGTCTTGATAGGAGGACATGACTATGGGGACAATGGGAACCTGGGGAAGGGGTAAAATGGATCAGTCCACAGCTCCTTTCTGAGACCCCCACACAAGCTCCTGCCTAGGAAAGAATGGTAGGGGTTGGGGGCTGAGTAGCAGAAGGGGAAGTTGTAATCACCTGGGCCTGCACTGCAAGATGGAAGGCACCACGTTTGAAGGGTAGCATGGAGCCGTTGTGGTTTCTCGTTCCCTCGGGAAAAACCCAGACCCTTACCTGAGGAAGAAAGATGATCAAGGAAGATACACACATATGGAGGGGTCAGAGTGAGTGTGATGCTATTATGGGACCTCTGAGGCCCACTGGCCCTGCACATCAGTTTATTTACAACTATTCTACTCTCTAGCCCTCCAAACCCCCATTTCCCCAGGATGACTCACGTCCTGGGTGAGCAGGGTCTGGGCGACCTCAGACATGACACTGATGGCATCCCCTGTGCGCTTCCGGTCGATGAAGATGACTCCTGCCAACCAGCAGGCCAGCCCGGCAGAGCCGGCCCACAGTAGCTCACGCTTGGCAATGGGCACACAGCGGCCTGGCAGTACCTCCATCATCCCTTGGGTGGGGGGGAGGGGTGTGAGGATCAGGGTGGAGGTAGAATATCACAGCATGCGGTCCACCTCAACCAGGTCATCACCCACACTGGAGATAAAGGGAGAAGACTGGACAGGGGGAGTTCTGAGTGAAGGAAGGGTGGCTAATGGTATATGTACCCTGCTTATGATGGGAGGACAGCTCTACCCCAGGGAAAGAATGCCTGAAGAGAGAGGGCAATGTCCCAGAGGAGAAGGAGTTGAGAACCTCCAGGGAAGGAGATTCTGGGGAAAGTTCTAGGAAGGAAGGCATGGCTGGGAGAGGTGTGATCTGTGGTGGGGTCTCACCAAGCAGGTCGAGGGAGCTCTGGTGGTTGGAGACAACAACATAAGGCTGCGAGGGAGGGAAGTGGTGAGCCCCTCGCACCTCCACTCGGATCCCGTACAGGTATTTGATGTGGAGCAGCATTAGACGCAAGATCCTGTGGGGTCAGGGCAAGGAGTCCCAGTGGGATCCACTGATGTCCATCTGTATGCCTCAGCTTTCCCGACCCTATTGTCTTTCTGGCCATCTTTGCAGTTCTCTCCCCTTTCCTTGTCGCTGGGCCTAGTCTCTTCTGCACACACCATGCCCCCTCCTCCCAATCAACCACTCACTTCTCACGCTTAGGTTCCCTCATCACCCACTACCCCTTGCCCCTCACTTCATGTTCTCGACGTTGCGTCCTCGCACAGCACACACAGGAATGGCGAGCACAGCCAGGAAGAGGATCCAGCCATTGTAGAAGGCCATCTTGAAGAAATACTTGGCACTGGGGCTGCAGAACCACAGGGTGGGCAGCAAGAAAAGCAGCAGCAGAAAGAGCAGCAGCAGTAGCGTCCATGCCCCTGGCCACAGCTCCATTCTGGCCACCTGCAAGGGATGGGACAGGGGACAGTCAGCCTGGTTTCTGGGAGGGAGTAGTAGGCAAGGCACAGAGGCAGGGGTGTAGGGGGTGCTATGAGGATAGGGCTCCCACTGAAACCTTTCCAGGAAGCCTCTTAGGATGAGGATGGTGGGGATGGGGAGCTCAGGACGGCCCTCCCACTCCTCTTCCAGAAGGTTCTAGAAGTATTCAGACAGACAAGAAACATGATACACAGACATCCAGAACTCACAGATACACTATAGTAAATGGCAATAATAATGACTGGTAACACTTATAGTTGGTAAAGGTCTTCCAACGGTCAATATTTGTGCTGTCCAATAGTACCAGCTACATGTGGCTGTTGAGCACTTGTAATGTGGCTAGTTCAAATTGAGATGTGCTGGAAATGTAAAATACACAGCAGATTTCAAAGGCTCTAAATGATAAGCAAAATGTAAGATATCCCATTATTAATCATTTGCACTGATTACCTTTTAAAATTATAATCTTTTGAGCCAGGCACAGTAGCTCACGCCTGTAATCCCAGAACTTTGGGAGGCAGAGACTAGAGGATTGCCTGAGCCCAGGAGTTCAAGACTAATCTAGGCATACTTGGTGAGACCTCATCTCTACAACAAATTGGGAAAAAAAAAAAGCTGGGCGTGGTGGAATGCGCCTGTAGTTCCAGCTACTTGGAAGGCTGAGGTGAAAAGATCACCTGAGCCCCGCAGGTCGAAGCTGTGGTGGCCGTGAGTGTGCCACTGCACTCCTGTCTAGTGAGAATCCACTCAAAAACAAACAAATAAGTAAATAAATAAAGAAAATTATAATATTTTGGATATATCGGGCTCAAAAAGTATATTCAAGCTGGGCTCAGTGGCTCAGCCTGCAATCCCACGCCTTTGGGAGGCTGAGGTGAGTGGATTGCCTGAGCCTGCGGGTTTGAGATCTGCCTGGGCAACTTGGCGAGACCTCATCTTCACAATAAATAAAAAAAAAAAAATAAGTCGGGTGTGGTAGCGCGTGCCTGTAGTTCCAGCTACTTGGAAGGCTGAGGCAGAAGGATCGCTGGAACCCAGCAGGTCGAGGCTGCGGTGGCCGGGAGCAGCCACTGCACTCCAGTCTGGATGACAGAGTGAGACTTCAACTCCAAAAAAAAAAGTATATTCAATTTAATTTCATTCTTTTTACTTTTTTTTTTTTTTTGAGTCGGGGTCTCATTCTGTTGCCTAGGCTGAAGTATAGTGTGATTCAATCACAGCTCACCGTAGCCTCAACCTTCTGGGCTCAGGCAATCCTTCAGCCTTAGCCTCCCAAGTAGTAGGGACTTCTACAAGCTTGTTCCACCAAGCCCAGCTAATTTTTTATAAAGACGAGTTCTTGCTATGTTGCTTAGGCTTGTCTCAAACTCCTGTGCTCAAGCAATCCTCCTGCC